ANAGGCGGCATAGGTCGGGCCTCGGACTTCCCGCCCACTTACCCCCACGCCACCCCCCACGCCGTCCCCTTACCTCGTTCGTCTTGCTAGAGAAGCACTCCAGGTAGGGGTACATGAGCATCAGGTGCGCCTTGACCAGACACAAGTCCGTGGAGGCCCCCTGGAAGCCGTGAACGAAGATGGCCACGTGGACCTCGTCCTGAGGGTGTTTTGTCGGGGGGTTGTCGGGGGGGGGTGTGGAGCCAGAGCGTGTGTGTGTATGGTGGGGGGGGGGTTGAGGAATCAGGCACGTGTGCATGTGCGTATAGGAGTGGGAGGGAGGGCCATAGTTACGACCAGCAGGAATCCCCGCATTAGCCCGCGCTTTGGGAACACTACAGGAGAAGGCAAGCGGACCTGGCCCTGGCATATCCCGAACCCCGTATAAACGATCGCGTATGGAGGCATCCCCACAAAGTATACGAAAGGATGGGGACATGTGCGTGTATGTGTGTATGTGTCGAATCGATGAGATCAGCCCATTCGGAGTTAGGGATGGGGGAGGGAAGGGGAGAAAGACGAACCACGAACGAGTGAAGCTGCTGCCGGGGAAGGGGGAGGGAAAGAGGGGATCGCGGGGGGAAGGAGTGCAAGGCGGAAGGTGGGTTGAGGGCGGGATCCGCTTACCCGCCTGGGTTGGAAGCCCTCGCCGAAGTACGAGTCGCTTTCTGCCAACCACTTAATGCCCTGGAAGGTGAGGGTGAGGATGTTCGCGTGGTGGTGGGGATAATGGTGAGGATGATAGGTAACGTGAAAGGGGAGGTCAGGGGAACAAAGAAAAACACATCACACATCACACATCACACAACGCGGCGCTGGCACTGCCTGGCTATACCTGCTGGCGCGGCCGCGTGCACACACACCTTCCGTACAAGCATACCGTGCAGTATGAAAGCCGTCCGTACACGTGCATGCACATGTGCACGCAATGTGCAGCTCAGCGCGGCCGCAACTCCTAACCCCACCCCCAACCCCAACCCCCCCACACACAGGCACCTGCGAGTCATCCACCACCAGGACGGGTTGCTCCCCGGGGGCCCCCCACAACGAGGCGGGCTGTACGGCAGGCAGCCGGAAGCGAGGTGACCGCAGCTTCTGTGGAGAGGAAGGGCACGTCAGGAAATGTGGAGATGGATGTGGGGGCGGGGGCCGGGGGGCGGGGGGCATTTAGCGACACCGGCTCTTAGATATGGAGGCAGCAGCAGGACTGTAGGCTCCCCTTATCGTCGCTCATTACAATTAAAGACATGCACAGAGAAGCAAACACCGATATACATACATACATACATACATACATACATACATACATACATACATACATACATACATATACACGCAAATATTTGTTTCCAGACGCATGGATAAACACGACACGCGCACACATACGCATACACACACGCACAGAGTTAGCTAATTCAAGCCACGTCCACAGTTTCGTTGAAAAAAAGCCTAACACGTTACTGGACTTCGGATCCCGCTTCAGTTAAGTTTTTCCTCCTGTACCACCACCATCACCACCCCCACCATCATCGGCAGCATTACCCTCATCGCGACTTCAATCATTAACACACTCACACACGCAATCACACACACAAACAGACACACAGACAGACACACAGACAGACACATAACACACACGCAACCAGCACACACACCTGCCGGTGCGCCGCCGCCTTGGCTGCAATCGCGTCCCGTGACGGACTGGAGTCCCATACCTGCATACAACCACCACCACCACCACCAACAACAACAACAACAACAAGAACAACAACACTCTTAGCGAGGGGTCGGCGAGGGGGCCGTCGAGGTCAACGAGGGAAAGAGGGAGGGAGCAGGGAGGGGGTACCGCAGTGCAGAACAGCTCAACACAATTGCCGAGAAGGTTGACCTCAAAACAAGCATATGCATTAAGATCCAAGACACATATACACATATACACACACAGACAGACAGACAGACAGACAGACAGACAGACAGACAGACACATACAGACAGACACACATGCAATCCACTCCAAGCCACGCACCGAAAGGCCGCCGCCTTCCCTCCCTGACCCCCCCTCCCCCCCCCAACGCACAATGAACGGCAGAACCGCATCCGGCTGCGCCGCCTCCCACTTCAACTTGAGGTGACGCATCAGCTCCCTCGGCAGTGTCCGCATCACCCAGCTCAGTACGGCCCAGTCTGTACGACTGTCCGCACTGAGCCCCACCAGGACGCCGTCCAGGTGCTGCAACGCCGCCGCCGTCGTAGGTAGCTGCCGTAGCAACAGCATGAAGGCGGGGACTGAGGGAACCGAGTGGTGCCCCGCAGCGGAGGAGGTGGAGGCGGCAGCGCCTTCGGCGCCGTTGCCGCCGGAGGCAGCAGCGCCGCCGGCAGTGGAGCCGTGGCTCAGCCGTGCCAGCGGCGCCGCCGCCGCCGCGCGCGGCGCGGCACCACGGAGCAGGCTCTGCGCCGCAAGTGCAGCGGCGGCGGCGGCGGCGGCAGCCGCCGCCGCTGCCGGCGCTGATGATGACGCCGCCGAAGGCGGCGTCGGCGCCGTCGCCGCCGCGGCTGCGGCTGCGGACACCAGCAGCGCACGCAGCACATCCAGGTTCTGCGGCGCGTAGCATTCCGCGGGCGCCTGGCGCAGGAAGGCAGCAAAGCGGTCGCGGCTGCGGCGGTGCGTATCCGCCAGGACCTCGTACGCCGCCGCCAGTCGTTCCAGCCTCTCGGCCTCTGAGGGGATCTGCGGGACCCCTTGCTGCGAAGGACGGGGAAAGGGAGGGAGGATCAGTCATGGAGGGAGGGAGGGAAAGAGA